TGTACTTGAAATCACGCCTAATAAAATAATTAATAATTTGATTTTAGGATAATATGATTTTAATTCAAGTGATCACCAATGATATATTTATTTTTGCATTAACAATCAACCAACATAGATTAAACAAGTTCAGGAATAACTTGTTGTATGTATGTTGATCGAAAAGCGCGCATGAATATCATAAAAATTAAGTAGAGGCCGATTTAGGGCGGGTTCAATCTCTTTTAGGTTGGATTCGTACTATCATCCCTGAATATCCAAACATGGTTTCGAACCATTATGGACTTAGCGATCTCCATGATCGTGAATGGGGTGTAACCTTCGTACCTGTGAAAAGTTTACAAGTTCCTAAAACTTGTTGGCGACTCTTCTATTTCTAGCTTCCTTCCCTTGGAGTTTCGCCATGCCTAAAAGCATGGATACAGTGGGGCTCAAAGGGTTGAGTTTGAAAAATTCCCTACAATTTTATGGCGACTCCACTGGGGAGGATTTCTAATTTTGATTCCTAAAATTTATTTTGGCAATCGATTTAGAATGAGTGGATGAGACTCGAAATATTCTAGATATTCATTGTGCGTAATTTTGATTAACATTGTGGCATAAGCATAAAAAGTTTCGCATTGGAAAGACCATCTGTAATGCGTCAAAAACATAGGATTTTATACACGTAGGAAAAGCCGGAAATATCTTTCACAACTAAAATCGAATAAACACTACGAAAAATCGGAAAAACTTCCAAAACAAGAATTGCCGCGACGCGCTGGCACTATCGCAAGATGACACAAACCATCTCCAAACGACAACTATATCACGGCGTGATAGAGTTGGCGCTGCGCGATAGACTCTGTTTTCTCGCGCCGAGTTCTTGCGACATTGCGCCAGTTTTCTGCTTTTGTGTTTTGACTATTTTACTTCCTGATTGAGTTTTTTCGACTTTTCTATATGTGTTCTACATATGGTTTTAGCCCTTGGGAATTCACGCTCCATCCACCCTAATGAACGCTCCGTGCAACAATGGGTGCATCCGAGATTGTGAATTCACCAAACTATGGAAGCGAGTTTTACTTGCGGGGTCCCATCCATCGTGCCAACCCTTCTAAGGTAAGGCTTCTGCGCGATGCATCCGGACTCATAACCATGGACCCTCTTGGACATCATAACCCTTGACCTTAGAGAGCTAGAGCCTTGGTTAGGTTGCAAACTCATTGCATCATATTGTGACTACTTGGCTACTTGTGCATTTCTTACTTGTGCATAACTTGTTTGTGATTAAAGTAACCTTTGGTTTGATTTGTTTCTTGTACACATGCCTATACAAACTAACCCTTTGTATTAACTTGATTCTTTTACATATGACTTGTATATACTAACCCAAAGGACTTTACTTAATTAAATTAGTTAATTGATACGAACCTATAAAGTCTAAACATACCCGGCCTAGAAGACTGTAGGCTTAAACCTTCGAAGAATCACCGAAAATAGATTAGAATGACGATCTAGTACTGGCGCGATAATTTGGTCTGTGGCGCAGGACGTTGGTATCCATCGCATCGCGATAGTCTTGTCGCGTCGTGATGGTGTCAGTGCCCCGCGATGGTTCGACTGCTTCTTTCCGAGTCTTTGCGTTGGGTTTTACTAATGGACATATGTGGTCTTTACCTCTGTCTTGTTTGAGTCAAACCGCATGTTTAGTCCCATGGTCATGACGCGAGTCTTGAACATATCACTTTCACTCACGAGTCATTGCACACACTTTGTACATACTTTCTTCACATCATGATCATGTCTTAGGTCCATGATATATGTGTTTTATATGCCAATTTATCCCTCGTCCCACGGTCATTTTTATGCTTATTTGAGCTCTTTGGGGCTACTTTTAGTACTAATGTGTGGTTTCGAGTGTTTTGTAGAGTTGGCATTTATTTTGTAGGAATTTCCTAGATTTGTTGGTGATTTCTACAGTTTTCCAGCCACTACGAGGTATTGAAGCTATTATCACATTTATGACCGTTGCTCGTAGCCCAAGACCAATTATTTCGGTGATTAAGGGCTTGGTTCGTGGAATTGGTCCAAGTAATGGACCAAGGAAGAGGAATTGGGCCACAATTGTTTGTAGCCTAAAGGAAAAGAAGAAAGAAGTCTCAGCCAAGAAAAAGACCGGGCTCGATCGGGCAGATGCCTAAAAAGGCGGTTTGAGAAAAAAGGCGGGCCCGATCGGGCGCGTGTTTTCTTGGGGAGTTTAGGACTTGTCGTTTTGGGCTAATTTTGGGTTTAGTATTTAAACTCTTTTTGTAAGCTATATTAGCTACGTTTTTACATTAGAATTTTCATTCTATAACTTTTAGAGAGATTTTTAGTGAGATATTATTGTTGAACTCAAGTTTTCCCTTTTTAGTGCAATTTTATATTTCCTTCATTCGGTATTATTTCTCATCTCTTTTATCGCTTTATTTATTGCTTGATTTTAATTGCTTTGTTATTTTGTGCTTAATTTCAATCATGCTCTCTTTAATTGCTTTGATTAGTTTAGATTTAAATATGTGTGAGTAGTTAATTTCTAGGGTTCTTGGAGGATCCATAATCAATATGAAGGGATGAATTATTTTGGTTGATTATTGATATTGCATAATAATTTCTCATTGGATTGTTTTAATTCTTTACAATTAGATTATGAATCAAGCATATGTCATTTAATTGTAAAAGTATAGTAATATTGGATTGATGAATCGAGCAGATGTTAATTTGATAAAGGCTATTTTCAATGGGAACTTAGATCTAGTAAATTGCGAGAGCCTGTTATTCTATGTTGATTAATAAATTACGAGAGTCTGTTAATCATGTTATGTTTGCAATATTAATCTTTGATTGTTATTTATTCTGGAGAATTAATTATTGGTGAACCTGTGACCCTAGGATTTTTATTATTGATTCCTTCCTTAGACTAATTCATACAAACCTTATTAGTTTCTTGATAATTAGGAATAGAAGAACGATGTTTCCCTGTGGATTCGACCCTACTTCCCTATCTATTTTAGTTAGTGGTCTTAGGAATTACTTTTGATTAGGTGATACGACTTTAACATGTCAGTCCATGCAAGAGTCATCCCTTCTGTCATTCGAGTTGAGGGTCCTTCCCATTCCCGGAAATTTCCATATCCTTCCACATTCACATATACCTTCCCATATACTTTCCATACATTACACTTTCTTTCTTAAACACTTTCAACATTCACATACTTTTCTCTTACATGCTTTCTCCATATATATCATTCACCTCATACACTATGATCCTTCCCCATCTACGCATGTTGAGTCAAGTTCGAGTCATATGATTGACAATGAGTGTCAATGGTTTAATTCCACAGCGTTTTGATCCGGATTTGGACCTTGTTTCAAACGAAGTGCAATCTACGGAGCCTAATGGTTCAAAGGGTCCAATTACACATTCCAAGGTTCAACAAAATCAGGTTCCTTTAGTCCATGGATTGTTCGTTCATGGGTTCAAACAAGTCCAAGTTCCACGCATAGGCCTAAACATAGCTCCATCTTTGTACAAGTCATGCGTGACTTGGATGGATGAGTAAGCATGGAATTAATTTGCCTTGGATGCCTTAGATATTTTCATAAGCATTGGGGGAAGAATATCCCTTATTCTTTTCTGATTTGAAGGCAGCCAAGACAAAGGGAAATAAAGAGGGGGTTACACACGTTAAGTAAGCATTCAAGTGGGTTTTTATTCACTTGTTTGGGAGCCATTCATGGAGTATAACCTCCTTAGTTTAATTGCTTTTTATTACTACTTATTTGTATGTTTTATTTTCAGTTTATAGTAGTAATTAGCTAGCTAAAGTTGCTATAATAAACGTTGTAACTGCCAGCCGTTACAAGGAAGAAAGCTGGGCGCATCTACAGCGAGTTCCCCAATGAACTGTTTAAAGAACTCGTTAAGGAACAGCAACAATTATTAGTCTTCAATGTATGACAGTTTGCATGGAACCGTTACATTGAGGGACTGCTCATTCTGGCGACTGTTGAGTTCCCTTTTGTTGGAGACTTTTAAGTTCCTTTTATTAAATTAGCTAAGTCGGTTAATTAATGTAACTACTTCCTTAGTCTATAAAAGGAAGTCTAGTCTAGCTTTTGTAATAGATTATTATGAATGAAATATTTACCTTTGAATATACTTTGTGTTATTTCTAATTTTAACTTGTGGATTCAAGTTACTTGAACTCGTGGACTCGAGTTTGTGAGCTTAACTCGGAGTGTTCGGAGTTAGCTTTTCTTATGGTTAGTAGAGTGAGTGTTCAACTCTAACCATACCTATCCTTGATTAGTATTATGAGTTTACCTTGTTAGTAAAACTTTGAGTTCCTCACTCTCAAGAACTAGTTCCCGTTCCTTTCCCATGTTCCCACGTAAATTCCTAGCCTAAACACTAAACCACTTAAACACCTAGCCTAAACCCTTAATCCATAAACCGAAACACCTAACCCTACCTTAGATTCCGCATCAGTTGGTATCAGAGCCACGGTCTAGGCCAGGGTGTGACCATGACTTCGAACCATGATTCCATGCGTGAAATGCAACAAAAACTCATGACTGAATTGCAAGCTGTACGTGAGGAAATACGCAAAGTGCGCACTCAAATGAGTGTGATTGACGAAACCACCAATCAACACAACCGTAGGTTGTCTGAATTGGAAGAAGGAGAGCCGACCCCCAGAAGTAACTATAATCGGTTCAATCCTGAAAGGGAGGACCGTTTTCTGAAACTCGACATTCCCGAGTTTGATGGTTCTAGTGACCCTGAGGTGTTTAATGACTGGGTTCGAAGGATTGAAGCAATCTTTGAATACAAGGAGTATGATGATGAAAAGTGTTGCAAACTGGCGACACTAAAACTCACGAAATTAGCTGGATTGTGGTATGAAAACCTCAAATCCAAGAGAAGACGTGCTGGCAAGGAGAAAATTTCTTCTTAGGTTACCTTGAAAAGGAAAATGGTGCAAAGATGGATTCCTAGGGAATACGTGCAAGATCAGTATGTCAAACTGACTCGTCTAAATCAAGACACTTTGATTGTAGATGAGTACGTAAAAGAGTTTGAAAGACTCAGTCTCCTGTGTGACTTGGATGAGACGGAACCATTGAAAATGGCTCGTTTCACTAGAGGCCTTGCAAAAAGCATAGCCAACAAGGTGGACCTCTTGCCTTATACCACCTATGACGATGTAGTGAAGGCAGCTCGCAAGGTAGAGGCACAACAGAAGGACAATCAAGTAAAGAATACATCCCGTATTCCTTACAAATCCCATAACCCTGCCACTCGATTTGACAAAGGGAAGAATCCTATGTTTCCCAAGAGATTAGAGAATAAGGTGGATGAAAGGGGTGAGCGTACCTGTTTCAAGTGTGGACAAAAAGGACACATAGCTACAAATTGTCCTAAACGGAACACACTAACCATTCAAGAGGGTGGTTATGTGGAAAATGAAGAACAGGAGGAAGATAGCGCATGTGATGAATGTGAACCAGAAGAGGGTGAAAATTCCTTCTGTGGCGTGGTGAGAAGGGTCTTGTACACTGAACCAGTACAGGATTTACAACAACGGGAAAATCTGTTCAATACCTGTTGTAAGGTGAAGGATCGCATTTGTAGCATGATCATTGACAGTGGATCATGTACGGATGTGGTAGCTTCCGAATTGGTGAACAAGTTAAAATTGCCTACTAGAGAACACACCAAACCATACAAGCTTAACTGGCTTGACAATGATTCGGGTGTACGTGTAAGAAAGCAAGCCTTAGTTGCTTTTACTGTGGGAAATTTCTGTGATGAAAGGTGGTGTGATGTGTTACCTATGACGGCATGTCAAATTTTTCTAGGCCGTCCATGGCAATTTGATCGTAAAGTTGTGCACAATGGTGTGACCAATGTATATACGGTTAAAACTAGTGAAGGTAAGCAAGTACGACTACTACCTTTACCACCTAAGGTAGAGAAGGAGAAGGAAGAGAAGCCTAATTTCCTCATTTCTAAATCAAAATTTGAGGAGATGCATGATCAAGAAGGGACAGTGTTCATATTGGTTTTAAAACCAATTTCAGAAAAATTGGTGGAAGGAGATTACCCTCCTATCATACGACCCTTACTGGAAGAATACCATGATGTTTTTCCTGATGAATTGCCTAATGAATTGCCACCAATTCGAGGCATTGAACATGCCATTGATCTAGTACCAGGTGCGGCATTACCTAATAAGGCAGCGTACCGTTGCAATCCCGAACAAGCAAAGGAATTGCAAAGGCAAGTGGAAGAGTTGATGGCTAAAGGTTTTGTGCGTGAAAGCCTTAGCCCTTGTGCAGTGCCGGCATTATTGGTGCCAAAAAAGGAAGGAACATGGAGAATGTGTATTGATAGTCGTGCCATCAACAATATTATTATCAAATACAGATTCCCCATGCCTAGACTACAAGACATGTTAGATGAACTATGTGGTTCCAAGGTGTTCAGTAAGATCGATTTGCGCAGTGGCTATCACCAAATGAGGATTCGTGAAGGTGATGAGTGGAAGACCGCTTTCAAGACCAAACAAGGTCTATACGAGTGGTTAGTCATGCCCTTCGGTTTATGCAATGCTCCTAGTTCGTTCATGAGGTTGATGAATGAGGTACTACGGCCATTTCTTAATAAGTTCATTGTTGTGTACTTAGATGATATTTTAGTATAAAGCAAAAATGAAAATGAGCATGTAGAACATCTTAGATTATTATTTGAAGCATTGCGTAGGCATAAATTGTATGGCAAACTAGAGAAGTGTGATTTCTTTTGTAATAGTATTACTTTCCTTGGGTATATTGTTTCAAGTGAAGGAATACAGGTTGATCCCGGAAAGGTGAAGGCCATTTCCACGTGGGAGGTGCCTCGGAATCTCCATGAAGTCCGAAGTTTTCATGGTTTGGCTTCGTTCTATAGGGTATTCTTCAAGAATTTCTCTACTATCACTGCTCCTTTGATCGAATTATTGAAAGATAAGGTGTATGTTCAAGTGGAACGAAGCTGCGCAAAGGGCCTTTGAAGACATCAAAGCTAAACTATGTTCTGCTCCAGTTTTAGCTTTGCCTGATTTTGATAAGCTTTTTGAAGTTGAATGTGATGCAAGTGGCGTGGGAATTGGAGCTGTTTTGGTCCAAGACAAAAGGCCAATTTCCTATTTCAGTGAAAAATTGAATGGCGCAAAGCTAAATTATTTATTTTAACAATCGATTTAGAATGAGTGGATGAAACTTGAAATATTCTAGATATTCATTGAGCGTAATTTTGATATTTATTTTGGCATAAGCATAAAAAGTTTTGCATTGGAAAGACCATTCGTAATGCGTCAAAAACATAGGAAACTAGGTTAAGGGTTTTATAGCCACAATGTCAAGGGGAGTGCGCAACGCTCAAAGTTGCGCTGGAGTGGCGAGCGCAACTTTGAGACTTGCGCTCGGCTGTCGCGCGCAACTTTGGAAGTTGCGCGCGGCGCGGTTTGCCTTATACAAAAACGCGTTTTTTAAAACTTCTATAACTTTTGATTACAAAGTTGGATTAAGAAAAATGAGATATCATTGGAAAGCTCTGGATGTCAACTTTCCAATGCCATTAGAATTAGGTAAAAATCTATTGTGGATCAAAAGATATGGCTATTTTAGTGCAAGGGTGTTGATTTTTGAACCCGATTTAGTATTTTGATGATATCTTCTTCGTTTTAACTCGGGAATTGGGCGTATAATATACCGTGGAAAAGCTTCTTTGATAGGGATATCCAACTGTATAGGCCATGAAAGGATATTATGTGTTCAACTATCCTGGTTATCTCGATTTTCAACAATGTTCGATTTATTTGATCCAATCATTGCATTTAACGCATTAGGGTCCGTTATTAATCAAGATAAAATATGTATGAGCACATTTTAGGCCTAATTAGTAATCGGACAAGGATCTAAGATAACTTGGTCTCAAATATGGGTTTTATCTTACTTCATAATGCATTCCGGAGTCCATAAACACTTCAACTTTGATCTAGCATGAAGAACGGGTTTTTGTAACATCATCGCACTTCCCTTCAGGACAAGAGGCCAAAAGTAGGTGTCTACACGTGGTGGTCGAGGTGGGGAGCAAGGTGGCGGGGTGGGGGCAGAGTGGCGGGTTTTTTTTGTTAATTATTAGGTTAAATCTTGTTTAATTAAGCTAATTAGTTGTTGATTACAAAAATATTGTCATGTTAGGAAAACTTATCAAAAGTAATGCTATTTGGAGAATTTGTAAAAAAATTTGTTACCATTGACAATGTGCAATTTTACATGGCTACCATTGAGAATTTCTCTTAATTAAAAAAAAATGGGAAGAATTTATAATAATTGAAATAACAAGCTTTAATTAGAGAAACCCTAATGGTTATAGGTAAGGACTTGCTTGCAATTTTAAATAATCTTTACCTACTAGCTTGACCATTGGAGTTAGAAAATGCAATTAGGTTGGCCAAGTAAATTAGCTTTGCCAAACTAAAAAAAATAAATAAATAAAATAAAGGGAATTTTGACTTTTACCACCTTCAAATAACCACTTAATTGAATTTACCACCTCCAAAAAAAAAGATTTACTTTACCACCTCATAAAAAAATTAAACATCAGTTTTACCACCAATCACCTCCAACTAATGGATTCCGTCCATAAATCCGTTAGTGGGGCCTACCTTGCACACGTGTCGCCATATTATTGGGTAAGCTTTAGAAAAAAAATTAAAAAAAACAAAAAAAAAAATTAAAAAACCTCATCCATCAATTGGTGGCTGCTGCCACCGTCGAGACCCCACCACCGGACCGACTACGACCAGCCCCACCACCTGACCGCTACGACCAGCCCCCCCACCTAACCGCTACCAGCCCCCACCACCTAACCGTTACGACCAACGACCCCACCACCTAATAACTACCACCGCACCGCACAGCCACAACCACCGCACCGCACCGCACAACCACCACACCGATTTCGACCCCCTTTCCACCAATTTCCGACCTCAAAACCCTAGTCACCACCTAATCACTACGACCAACGACCCCACCACCAACTTCCGACCCCTCCCTTGCCCCCACACGAAATTCCGACCACACGAAATTCTGACCAACGACCCCACTAATCCACAACCACCGCATCGCACCGCACAGCCACAGCCCCCACACCGGATTTCGACCCCCTTTTCACCAACTTTCGACCTCAAAACCCTAGCCACCAAATTCCGACCAACCATATAGCCCCCCTAATTCCGACAACTCTTAAAACCCTAGCCACCACCAAATTCCGCACTCCTAAAACCCTAACCACCACCTAATTCCGATCACCTCCCTAGGTTACACTAAATTCCGACCCCTCCCTTGCCCCCACACGAAATTCCGACCAACCATGGTGTGTTAATTTCGTTGCCGGCTGGGTTGATATGGAAATCGGGGAAGATGAAGAAGAACCGTCAAAAAGGTGGGCCCTACTAACGGATTCATGGACGGAATCCGTTAGTTGGTGGTAAAATCGAATTTTTGGAAATTTTGGTGGTGGTAAAGTAAATCTTTTTTTTTGGAGGTGGTAAATTCAATTAAGTGGTTATTTGAAGGTGGTAAAAGTCAAAATAACCTAAAATAAAATAAAATTTAAAAAAAGTTAATTAAGGAAGTATGGTTCATTTAAATATTAAGTTAATTTAGTAATATATAGCTAGACATTGGAGCTCAAAGCAACTAAAATAACAATTAGTTTAAGAGGTTATGTGGCATGACAAACTAATTGTGATAATTATCTTGCCATATGAGTTGCTCCAGAAAGTGATAATAATATTTTTCAAAAGGAACCAATCATATTATGCCATGTGACATAAAAACTGAATGATTAATGGAGTTAATTTCTATTAATCATTAAGGGTATCTAGTGTATTTTTATGAAACTCGGGGGCATATGGTGAATTCAAAATGTTGAAGGGTATGGTGAATAAAATGATAACTCGAGTATATTTGGTGTAAAAACCATTAAAATAAATACCTAATTTTATTCAAGCAATACGCTACCTACAACGTTTTCTAATCATTTTAAAAAATAAAAATAAAAAATGAAAAAACTCTAGCTAAGGCGTTATCCACCCTTAAAATGATTTTGGAATTTCTAATGTTAATTAACAGTCAACTATAATTGGTAGGGTGTTTGTCTTGCCTTTTTGATGTTGTATATATACTTTTAATTGTGGACTCTAGTGAATGAATGTAAACCTTTACCTAATTTTATGATCAACTATGTATTCACTTCACTTTTTTTATTCTTTTTTTTTCGTTTATCAGTTTCAATGACACATTTTTACAATTAAAATATTGTGGAAATCAAATAAATAAAACGGAGCATAAATTAACTTATAAAATTGATTAAAAGTGATTAAGGAATATAATTTTTTGTTAGGTTACACATGTTTACGATTGATTGACATGGCTAAAGTGGTTTTGTTACACTCTAGAAATATACTTTCACCATTTTTATTTAGGGAAAAAAATGGTTTTATTAATCCCAACTTTAAGACATTTACTTTTAATAATCTTAATTATGGATTATTCCGGAATCATCCCAACTTTGAGGGATGTTTTCTTCTAACAGGTCATGACCAATCAACAAAAGTCAACAACATATTATAACAGGTTACTTGACACGTGTCAAGTCCTGATTGGTTAAAAAAAAGAATTTAGTAAAAATAAAATCAAAATAATAATAAATAAATAAATTAAACAACCAGCCCCCTTCCCCCTATCGGAGAACACCCCACCCCCTCCCCTTCCCTCTACCAGAACCTCCCCCACCCCAAAACCGCCCGAAACCCTCCTCCCATGCCACTGAAACGTCCCCCCTCTTTTCCCCTGCCCCTTAAAACGCCCCCTCCATCCCCTTCCTCAACCCTCGAAACCGCCCCCCTCCTTTCCCCTACCCTGGAAACCGGCAAAGTTGCCATTTTCGAGGATGAGGGAAGGGAGGGGTGTTTCGAGGATTGGGGAAGGGAAGAGGGGGGAAAGGAGGGAGGGACATTTCGGAGCAGGGGAGAAGGATTTTGGGAAATTTCGAGGTAGGGAAGGGGAAGGGGAAGGGGGAGGGGAGGATTGTTTACTAGCAAGGGAAGGGGAGGGGTTAGGCTTTCCGGCTGAGGAAGGGGAGGGGCTAGGGGCTCCGATGGGGGAAGGGGGAAGGGGAGGGGGTTAGGCTTTTCGACTGATGAAGGGTAGGGGCTAGGGGCTCCGATGGGGGAAGGGGGGGTGGGGGTTGGGGTTAGGATTGGGAAGGGGTTTCATTTTTTTTTTTTTTTTTACCAATTAAATTGCAACACATGGCATTAAAAAAAATAACTTTTTACTCAACATCGGTCATTTGGCTTGTTGAAAGAAAAAGCCTCCAAAGTTGGAATTATTTAGGAATAATCGATAGTAAGGATTAGTAAAAGTAAATGACCCAAAGTTGGGATTAATAAAACCATTTTTCCCTTTATTTAGTTGCAACACTTTGACTTTATTATTCATGCACTCCACTTTGATTCACTCAATTAATTTAGATTTAAGAAAAATGTAGTCATGTGAGATTTTGTTATGTTCATCTCAATTTATACTTTCATAATATATGTGTGTGCGTGTGTGTACTATGCATTGACAACACATAAAATGAAAAGTATTG